GAATGCAATATAACAAATTTTCCCAGCCCCCACATGGGGGAAATACTACAGTTTTTTGACCCAATATTGATTTCCTCAGGTAGGGAGTATTACCATTTTTTGACCAATGGTGGTGTCCCTGGGGTGTAGATTTTGACATTTTTTTCAGGAAAATGTCAAATCCCAACCCCATGAACCACCCCCCCCCCTCCCCGGGCTTAACATTGATAGATACATAAGCTGCATAGGCCAGTTGCCAAGCTGCAACCACAAGTTCATGTTCAGTTATATATAGATTTTCAGGTGTGTGGATTTTGATAAGCTAAACTTGAAAGATGTGTTTTGCACTTCACTTGGTTGAACTAGAATGTTGGGTTTAGTGGATAATCCAAGCAAGCATATATATACACAGTTTAAGACCTAAGGCGACAGGTTTGATTCCTGCCAGAGGACCTAGTGTTGTACTTTTTGCAACCGTTCCTGGTTAGGTCTTAAATTGTGTACATATGCCCCCGCTTGGATTATCCAGCATTCACTGTCCAGAATAACAATCCCATAATATTACAATTTCAATCGGCATTATGAACAAAACACTGTGACACACCGGAGAAAGAGCTTAAACCTGACAAGATAAATGTGGGAATGCTTGACAGCTCTCCAGTATAGTGTTTGTTTACATTAGAGGGTTCATAGTGTAGCAATTTTTTTCATCCATAAAATGTGTTGAATGTGTTTGATGCCTTGGTGGCTGAAGATCAAAATATACTACCAGATCAGTCATCCTACACCCGTACAGCCCCAAACAGCTCCAACTACTTAATCCCCCTCAAGAGTTATATGGCACTTTAATAGTTCCTTCGCCATCAGTTGTGAAAATAGGCCACACGTCACAAAATCCTTCGTGAAAGACTCCATCAGTGGCATTAAATGAAGAAAGAATCCCTCAAGTGATTAAACAGCAAGTTCTGCCGGAGACCAAGCCATCTACATTCACTTCATTGGGGCAGTACTCATGAGAATGCCATATTCTTGACTCAAATTTACGAGATGACCATATTGCACTCCTAATCCACTCCATTTCAGACCTCTAGGCCAAGATATTTGTCTACCGCTTCAGAAAGATCCATTCGGAGAAAATAGTTCGAGATGAAAAGCCATCAGAGAGATAAAAAAATAACAAACTAATCCTCTTTGGTAATGATTAACATTGGATTCGGCAGCATAAATGTCCATGTGGTTGAATAACTCGACACATTTGAGCTGAATATTTCGAGATATAAAAGCAAAAAAAAACACACTGAATCCTTGAATGCCATTAATAAAGATAATAATATTTTTTAAATAAAACCAAAATCGTAGCAAAATTCCATGTAGATTTTCCACAATAAGTGCTTGAAAATATCCATATTTATCTATACTAGTTTTCCTATGTCACTTGTGTTTTTTTGCCCGCTTGTTCCGCCGTCTTGGATTTTTAATTTTGGACACGTCTCGTTTCTAGTCTTCAGAATAGGAGTCGGCGATCTATACCTCCTATATCTATGGTTTCAACCCTTTAGTTTAATTCTCCCTTCTTTCGCCGCCTTCATCTTTCGCACCCGCGGTCTTTACTTGTCCGCGATCATCTATACTTCATGTAGAGTGATAGTATAATGATTCAAGCAGTTCAAAATGTTTACAGAATTTGGAGAGAAGAAATAATCGATTATCAAGGGATTCATGTAGGGTTTTAAAAATAAATACAATATTATTTCAATCATAACTCATAGTGGGGCCCCCTGTGCTGTTACGGCAGAAAAATCTCAACATCATGTTAATTTAAGCACCATTTCACGTGGAGCTCCTCCCATCTCTTCTACTGCATCTCATGCCGTAAATAGTGTGGCAAGCTTTATATTGGAGAAACTGGAAGATCATTGAGGACAAAATTTGGTGAGCATCAGCGTGCAGTCGCGTTGCCAATGTTGCTAAATCTTTTTCGTTTTCGATATTTTTCATTCAATTGTTTCTAAATGTAAATATCTCAACGAGTATTTATTCCCCCTTTAAAATAAAAACCACCATTGAAATCCTCACAAAATAACTTTTTGAACGGGGTTCAAGTGCCGTCAAAACATTACACAAACCAAAACAATCCTAGTACTCGCTGCTTTGCCAAACATTCTGTATTTCATAATGAGAAAAAAACTTGAATATCCTCCAAACTCTTCAGAATTCGCCATATATTGCAAGCGCATCAATGTAGTAAGTTTCGTTTGAATATGGTGAGTAGAAATGTTTATTTTTTTGCCTATTTCAAAATGTCGGGTTTTTACTCTCAAACGCGTGCCACACGCTAAAATTGGCCAATAAGGAGCTCCCGTAGCCAGATGCACGTGAAAATCAGACTACAGTGGTAATTTGACTTTTAGAATCGATTTCAGACGTTTTCCTACTGCTAGGATGTAGACATCGCGTCGTCTAGATGATCAGTTCATGATGGATTTCCGGTTGAACATTGCGTTAAAAATTTAAACTATTCTGAAATACCGAAATAAAAGGTGCAAATCTGTAGGTAGAAGATTAATAATAACACCCTAAAAGTATCTTGGATTGTGATTCGAACAAGACTATTACAAACAAGATAATAATGTCGAAAAAGATTGAAGTTAAGTTATGTTCGGCGAAAGGTATGGGTTATAGTATTACATTGTTGCATTTTTCAGGAAAATGGTGTACGTAATTTAAAGAAATATGGCATCGTTTGACCCGTAAAGGTGGTAAATCGCTATATTGTTGACATCAGTTTGCTAAAACTATCGATATAGGAATGAGGATATATTGTTTCACTAATTCGAATGGTGGTATTTTCATCTACATAGCATGTACTGAACCAAAGATATTTAAATAATCAGTTCATGTCTGATAAAAATATAAATCTTGGATCTTAATTTTTGCTAGCTAGGCTGTTGCCAGACTTTTTAATAGTGGCAAACAGTGTGTTTAGATAAGGAAATTCGAGTCCTCTGTTGCATTTCTGGGAGCAATGATATCCGTACACGGTATGAAATGCGCTTTATGTCCAAACTTTAAACTGTCCACCGCTAGGGCATTAATGAACGTTTTCTTTCCTTTACCTTCATTTGTTTCTTTGAGTATACTTTTAATTCTTACCTTTTTCTATACTTGTTTTCATGTATTTTGTTCTGTTTGTTGTATATTTGTATAAATATATTCTGCAATGTGACTAATGTTTTTTGTTTATATTTCTATTATAAAATTCATCTGAAAGGTTTATTTTTCGTCCCTTGATCGCTTTTATATAGTTAGTATAAAAACTCATGTAATTTCCCGGAACCCCGCTACTAACGTCCGACCAAGGACCTTCGTTCGAATCCCCCCTAATATTTTTCAGGCATCACTACCTATACGCTAGCACACGCAGTTGAAAAATGACACATCACGCGACCACCTCAAAAAAAAAGTTGATCGAACTTAATATCAACAGTGATGAAGCTATTCATGGCAACTGGTCATCCCATGATAATAAAACTCAATCTAACTAGGTTAATGGCATTGCCATTGCTATTGCTAGCTTCGCAGTGAATTTTAAAGCTTCAGCTATGGCATGTAAGCACTACGAATGCGGAAGACATCTTCCATTGTGTCTTTCGGAAAGAATAGCGTAAGGAGAAAATCCAATAATTCCTATTTTTATCAGGTCGAAGTAGAGGAAATAATCGTGAAAAGCTGCTATTTGAGGCTTACTCAATTGACGCATTTGCCTGTCATTTTCTCACTGATGCATTTGCCACTGGACATATGAGGTACGATGTTCCAGCTGCAATTATTAACAGAAACAGAACGTATAAACTCGGCAACAACAAATAACAATAACAACAACAACAACGACGACGGCGGCGGCGGCGACAACAACAACAACAATCAATTATGCGGCGACAGCGATGACGACGTCAACCAACACTCGTTTATCTTGTGCCAAATCAAATATAATTTGCAACAAATGTTAAGCATCGTTTACATACTGTACGCCTGCGGTATGTCTGCACCATCATTGTTTACAGATGTTCATTTATACAATCGTTTGTGAATGATTTGGTTGAACTGCTAATCACAAAAGCCCCCCGTCATACCGCATGTATACTGTACTTCAACTAGTCTTTACTGATATTACTACAATATTCGTTAAATTAAAGTGAACAGTGACTGTTAAACCTTACAAAACAAGGCCACGGCTAGACTTTTAAAGATAAGCGCCACCTTTCCCTCGTTGCGCTAATTGCTCTTTACAATTTTAGGACACCAAGGGTTGCCATACCTATGATGGTCACTGGGGATACCATAGCAAATCTTCTGTGTATGTACATGCATGACGAAGACAGTAAGTTTGGTATTCGTGTTAGTAACGTTCGTGGAGACAAATGGGTTGCTTATGGAGATGGAAGGCTCCTGCAGGAATGTGACAAGGTAATTAGATTCTAAGATCCGGTTTCATAAGCACAACCAAACTAATACGAGCCTCTTTTACTGCTGGACTGCAGCGAAACATATTTTGAAGAGAAATTGTTGCATTTTGCAGTAAATATAAAAATAGTGTAAGTTGTATTCGACGAGCTGCCATACTTTTGAATTAAAGCCTGGCGCACACGATGCGATTTTAGTCGGCCGATAAAAATCGTTTCACGTACCAATACGACATCGGTATATTCCGCACACGATTGAACTGTAGCAGCCATGTTGCCAAATAAATACAAGCACGTGATCACCTCATGAAATCTGATTGGCTATATTTAAAATTCCACCGATAAAAATCGTATAATATCAAAACGTTTTGATGTTGTCCGATTAAAATCGAGCAACAAAAATCGGTTAAAAATGCCACCGGACACGTAACGATTTTGTTAGTTTTAGTCAAACGATTTTTATCGGCCGACTAAAATCGCATCGTGTGCGCCAGGCTTAAATTACAATTCTTCCTAACTCCAGGTCAGTCTGTTTCGCGAAAGGTTCATTCATCACGCCTGTCAAAAATGCATGCAAAAAAGTCAATATGCCTCAGCTTCTTTAACTTTGATCCTATTTCTTCTAAATTTCCCACGATCATAGAATATTTCATTTTTACAAATCGTGTGTTTTTTCCGAAATGCTACATTTTTGGCGGGAAAAAATGAAACTTAATAGCTATCGGTAAATTTATGCACTTTTTGGTAGGCGACCTTGAGAGAGTCTTAAAACTGAAGTCTGTTTCTAAATACGACCATTTTTCGCGAAGATATAGCCATTATATATAGCAAATCGGCCATTTTGTTACTAAAAATTTAATTTTGTTACGTAATTTACCCCGCCAAAAAGTAGCAATTCCAGAAACAAAAAAAAAACGTGTTTGTAAGAATGATATGTTCTATGTTGGTGGGAAATTTAGTAGAAACAGGGTTAAATTAAAGACATTGGAGCATATTGGCGCTTTTGCATGCATTTTTGACAGGCGTGCATGAATCAACTTTTCTCGAATATTGCGAGCGGTTTGTGCGCTAACTCTACCCCAAGTGAGTTGGATACAAGCATTCTTGAGAACTTTATTTCCTCTAAATTTACTAATTACAACACTCAATTTAACATCCCTCCTATAACGGTACAGGACACTATGGAAATGATTGATAGTCTTTCTAGCCGGAAAGCAACAGGTTCTGATGGTAATAGTGTCAAAGTATTGAAATTAGTTGCACCCGTCTTATGTCAGCCTCTAACACGAGTCTTCAATCTATCCTTGGAAAAAGGGTGTTTCCCAAGAAAATGGAAGGTTGCGCGGGTAACCCCGCTTCACAAAGATGGTGTGCGTGACATCCAAGATAATTACAGACCTATATCTGTTTTATCTGTGCTGTCAAAATTGATTGAAAAGCACGTTGCACGATCTCTCATCAGCTACCTGGTGGAGAACAGATTGTTGTATCATCTGCAGTCAGCATTTCGCGAAAGCCATTCCACTGATTCAGCTCTGACAAACTTGACAGACAAGATATTGTTTAATTTGGACCATGATGAGGTTACCGGAATGGTGTTTGTCGACTTTAGAAAGGCTTTTGACATAATTGACCATAAGATTCTCCTAAAAAAGTTGGAGCTTTATAGAGTGACTGATGTAGCGTTGACCTGGTTTAAGTCCTACTTTGTGATTGCTACCAATTTGTTTCTCTCGAAGGTAAATTGTCTGAATGCTTACTACTGAAGAAAAGGGGTGCCACAGGGTTCAGTCTTGGGACCTGTATTATTTCTGCTATTTGTGAATGATTTACCACTTCATTTACAATATTCTTCAGTCGACATGTTTGCTGACGACACCACTATGTCTGCATGTGCTCACTATTTGGACATTTCTTCGATGAATGGTGGTTTAAATAGTGACTTTCATGCTCTTAATCAATGGTCGTTGCAAAATAAAATGTTCATAAATGCACGAAAAACAAACTCCATGCTTGTGACTGGAAAAAGGATACCAAAGAAATTGGACTCACGGAATGACCAATGTCTGCAGCTCAAGATAGATGGCGTTGATGTCAGCGGTGTTGCCTCGAAAAAACTTTTAGGAATTACCTTGGATTCTAAAATGAGTTATGAAACGCATGTCGAGGAACTAGCGAAGAAGATTTCAAAACGATTAGGATTGCTTAAACATATCAGTCCGTATCTCAAGCAACATCAACGAGAAACATTTTATATTTGTGTTATCAAGCCCACTCTCATGTACGGCAGTGCGGTCTGGGACAGCTGTAATATCAATTGTCATCAAAGACTTTTGAAACTTCAGAAGAGGGCGGCAAGAATTATTCTAGATGTTGATAGAAGAACGCCTTCAATTGAACTTTTTAATAAGCTAAATTGGCTGCTTTTGTCGAAACAGTCTCTTATAAAAAGAACATCTATAACTTTTAAAAGAGTAAATACAGATTATGTTATCCCTGAATATTTAAGCACTATGCTAGTAAGGAACTCAGATATTCATACTAGAAATACTCGCTTTAATAATATGAACATGGTGTGCCCAAAATACACTAGAGAGACTGAAGGTGGGCGCACTTTCACCGTTAGAACTATTAAAGATTGGAACGCCCTCGATGTTACATTGCGCAAACAGAAATCTATATCTACGTTTAAACGCAGTTTGTATACTAAAATTTTAACGGACCAGAAGTCCGCCATGCGTTTAGAAATTGCTTAGGTGGGTGGTGGGTTATTTTATTTGTAAATATAGTAGTTTTAGAGTTTTTATAAGTTTTAGTATTGTATTAACTTAATTGTAGTTATGTAAGGAGGGCCACGAATTTATCAGTAGTTCACACTTACTGTCAAGTGTTTACCCTCATGAAATAAAGTCTGAATGAATGACTGAATGAACTTTCGATTTATTGATTTATTAGTAAAAATTAGCTTTTTGTATTTATTTATTTATTTATTTATTTATTTATTTATTTATATATTTATTTATTTATTTATTTATTTATTTATTTTTTTATTTATTTATTTACACATACCTGTTTTTTTATGAGGTCGTTGAACAATACAACACGGAGTTACAACAATTGTATATCCACACACAGCCAGTACTATATTATACAACTTCTATATTATACAATTACTATAATATGTTAAAAATATTTACAAGAATCAGCGACGGTCAACTTTAGACTTAAATTTTTCTACACCAATCCCTTTCTCCTTTGCACATTTTGGCAAATCATTCCAAACGGAAGCGGCAGAATAGGTAATACTTTTCTTCATAAAATTAGTTTTGGTTTCTTTAAAAAACAAAATCCGTATTGTTGTTGCGTAAATTATGATTTGAGTTGTTTTTCATTTCATATTTACCAGTCATTGATTGGGGCAGTTTAATAATATTTTTAACGTTGTATGCAAACATTGCTTTCTTGTTCCGGAAACGACCCTTCAAGGGTGGCCAGTCTAGTTCACTTAATATGTTTTCGGAACTTATCTCGTAACTACTGCCAGTGATTACTCCGGCAGCTCTGTTTTGTAATTTTCCCAGTTCTTTTTAATAAATAATCCGCGCATTCATCCCAAACAAGGCTGCAATGATCAAAATGGGACAAAACTATTGCATATGCATAGACTTTAATTAATGTAGAAGTAGATACGTATTCTTTAAATCGACGTAGCATACCTATGCAGTTAGAAACTTTTTTCGTGATATTATCGATCTGTGTGTTCCATGTTAAATCATCGTCAATTACTATGCACCTAATGTTTTGGATTTATTAACTCGTTTAATTGTTGGTTCTTCCAGTTCAATTTGTGGTTCATTATTTGTATTAGCTAGACGTTGTTTAGATCCCATTATCACATACTCAGTCTTTTCGCTGTTTAATGTGAGTTTGTTGGCAAGTAGCCATTGGTGTACCTTCTCCAAGTTTTCATTCAATCTTTCATTAATTTCATGTAGGTTTGCTCCATGATGATATATTTGTATAATCTGCAAACATACTTACACTAGTACTAGAAGAAAGGCAATTAAGTAGATCATTAATATATATCAAAAAGAGTAGTGGACCTAGGTTTTGGCCCTGAGGAACACCGCATTTTGTGATTCTTTTACTAGATGTTGTTTGTTTTATTTTGCACATTTGTGTCCTGTCAGTTAAATAGGATGTGAACCACTTAAGTGCTTGTTCTAGTATGCCTTACACATGCATTTTTTTTAGAAGAATTTCATGATCTACACAATCAAAGGCCTTTTTTAAATCAAGGAATATAGAACACCATTCAGACATCCTTTGTACACAGTACAAAGCAATATTTCTTGCAGAACAACGTCAGTGGATTGGAGGTTAGCATAGGCGTAAGAGGGTGGGGGCATGCTGGCAATCAATATTTTGTTCCTCGTACAGTTTGTATCTAAAAGTGTGGCGTTTTGTACTTAAATTTTTGGCAACAATGACTAGAAATTTGAGATAGTTAGCGCTGCGTCTAGCCGACGCGCAAATGCATTAGAAACAAATGAATATATGCCTATCTTCGGTATTATTTAAGAAATAGAAAACATTTTCCGTGTTTCTATAGAGTTGTAGAAACACGCGTGAAAGTTTGGGAGAAACGAGAAATTGCATGAAAACACGAGCACGAATTGCGAGAGTTTTCACGCAATTTCGAGTTTCACGAAACTTTCTATGAACTCTACAGGAACACGGAAGAAATGTTTTCTATTTCCTTTATTAAATACCCTTTTAAAAACAATGGGAAAGATATTTTTTTTTATTTTAATAGCTTCCATTCAAATATTAATTCCACCTTAATATACGTTCGTTTGAAGAATAATTATAAAAGCAAAGCGAAGTATTAAGAATGGTATATCGCTGTCAATGACAAAACAACAAACAGCACTTTAATAACAGGCTTACTTTACTAAGTATGTAATTCACCAACAACGTACATGCTTGCATGCAAAGAAAGCACTTTTTTAAATAGTTAGTGAACGTTTAAACATGATTAAAAACTATAGTAAACATGATTAAAAACGTCGCGAGGAAATATTTTTTTAAAAAGACAAAGTAAAATTAAAATACCTTAACTTGGTAAACAGTCAAACAGTTATAACATGTGCTATAATTATACTTTGTGCTTTAGGACTTAGCTTTCTATGTTAGCAAAGTGTTGATTTTTTTTGTAACGGTTCTTCGGCGTTTCGGGACGTATTTCAAATTTTTCAAAGTTAAATATTGTTTGTATTTTGTCTTTTCAACTTCCTAACAATCCACGCAACCCACGTGAAAATTCCCCGTGTTTCTATCGAGTTATAGAAACACTTTTTTTTTTAGCTTTTGACCAATCAACGCCCGATGTAATCCCCAAAACGGGCAAAAATTTTATTTCGCAATTTGATTTATGCATTTTTTATGATGTGCTGAATATTATGTTTTATATAAATGTAAAAGACATTGTAGTTTTACCCTTCAAGAGGAAGTTAGGATATGAAATAATCAGTGCATTTTGTTTTCATCTGCCAACTTAATATACAAGCAGGGTGCGCAAGAAGAGCTGTGGCCACCTCCTTAATACTCCATGACCAGTGCAAGCGGCTTGGACTTTGAGGTGCTATAGCCACCGTATCTGTGCCTGAAAATAAAAATGAACTTCAATGTCTTGAGCGAAAGAGTTATTGTACTTTCCAGGTAGTTGAAGCTTTCATTTTGAAGCTTTCAAACAGCAGTTAATTCGCACATTTTCTAATTCTATCAAGTTTCTTTATCAATATCACTTTAAATTTAAGCAAATATTGTATTTTCGAAATATGCTTTTTACCTTCAACAATCCTTTAGGCGAAATACCTTAGGATATCTGAAGGACAAAGAAACATCTTCTGGCAGTGTGAATGGGTGGGGGGATTCTATATGCGGTATAGATATAAATAATAAAATGTATATTTGATATTCTCTGGTTAACTTAACATACTGAATCCGCAAGTACAATTGTCTGGCATTAGACAGTCCGAGCAAAATAACAACGTAAGGGATGCTGGAGTTTTTAGGGTGGCAACCGGCAAGTAAACTTGTTGTGGACAACTCTCATAAGAACTTCCTTCGTCTCGTCGGACTTATATGTTTTTACATAATTCAGTTTTTGACGTAGACATGCCATGCCATGCGATGTACCTGGTCTCTTGTTCGGGACTGCCCATGTAACAGAAATTAAATGTATAGTTCCTTGATTAAAGTAAAGTTCGTTTCGTTGACATGCCCAAGTCACATGTTTTCAAAACCAAGTTAGTTTTATTTTCCGTACAATTTTTCCAAAATCGGCCTTTTACGTATTTGAGAGGCCAGTTTGTGGGTATAATATGCGCAAATAGAGTTTTACCTCAACTATCATTTATAGTGTAATGTAAATATAATTGTAAAGTTTTTAAGGGAGGTGCCTCGCATGGACTTTTTCTGACCCATTCGCACTTTTCCTTTTTGGTAATACCTATTAATTGTTATTGTTGATACTCCCTAAATTATAAAGAGTCAGACAAGGTACTGAAAAGACAGGGTTTTTTTTACATTCACCTTATATAACTAGTGCTGCATATATCTGGTAATCGCTAAAACCAACCAGCAGTTAAAAGTCGAAACATGCAGCATCCATCTGAAGAACCCAAGATCCCAATATACGAGGAACAATCAGGAACCCAATATACGAGTTAAACAGTGAGAATGAGTTTGTAAATTGTTGGAG